GAGGGGTGCCCTCATCACAGTCTACACCTTCCTCAAGAGGGGCAGTGGAAGGGGAGGTGCTGATCTCTTGAGTGTGGTACCCAGCAATTGGATATGAAAGAATGTCAAGCTCACTGCCCTGGACTTCAAGAGAGCAGACTTTGGCCTCTTCAGGAACCTGCTTAGTAAGGTTCCATGGGATACAGCCCTAGAGGGCAGGGGGGCTCAAGACTCTTGGTTGGTCTTCAAGGATCACCTGCTCCAAGCTCAGGAGTGTTGCATCCCAACCAGAAGGAAGTGCAGCAGGAGGGCCAGGAGACCTCCTTGGGTGGATAAGGAGCTCCTGAGGAAACTTGGAAGGAAAAGAGAGGTAGAAGCAAGGACAGGTGGCCTGGGAAGAGTACATGGATGTCGTCCAAGAAGCTAGGGACCAGGTTAGGAAAGCTAAGGCCCAGTTAGAATTAAACTTGGCTAGGGATGTTAAGGGTAACACAAAGGGATTCTATAATTACATTGCAAATAAAAGAAAACTAGGGACAACATGGGTCCCCTCTGGAAGCTGTCAGCAGAACTGACTACCCTGGATCTGGAGAAGGCTGAGGTTCTGAATGACTTCTTTGCCTCAGTCTTCACTGGCAAAGGCTCTGACCACACCACCCAAGTCTTGGAAGGCAGACGCAGGGACTGTGAGAATGAAGACCTTGGGACCACTCGAGGATAGGATCTGGTTCGAGATCATCTTAAAAATCTGAACGTGCACAAGTCCATGGGTCCTGATGAAATACATCCGCGGGTCCTGAAGGAGCTGGGGAATGAAGTTACTAAGCCACTGGCCATCATATTTGAAAAATCTCCAACAACTGCAAAAAGGGGAATATAACCCCCATTTTCAAGAAGGGGAAAATGGATGACCCAGGGAATTACAGACCAGTCAGTCTCAGCTCCGTGCCTGGCAAAATCTTGGAGCAGATTCTCCTGGAAGGCATGCTAAGGCACATGAAAAACAACAAGGGGCTTGGTGACAGCCAGCATGGCTTCACTAAGGGGAAATCCTGCCTGACCAATTTGGTGGCCTTTTATGATGGGGCTACAGAACTGACGGACAGGGGTAGAGCAGTTGATGTCATCTACCTGGATTTGTGTAAAGCGTTCAACACTGTCCCACATGACATCCTTGTCTCTAAATTGGAGAGACATCAATTTGATGAATGGACCACTCGGTGGATAAAGAACTGGCTGGATGGCTGCACACAAAGAGTTGTGGTCAATGGCTCAATGTCCGGCTGGAGACCAGTAACGAGTGGCATCCCTCAGATACAGGTGTTGGGACCGGTCTTGTTTAACATCTTCGTCGCTGACAGGGACAGTGGGATTGAGCGCACCCTCATCAAGTTTGCTGATGACACCAAGCTGTGTGGTTCGGTTGATCCGCTGGAGGGAAGGAATGCCATCCAGAGGGACCTTGACACGCTTGTGGGGTGGGCTGATGCCAACCTCATGGAGTTTACCCATGCCAAGTGCAAGGTCCTACACCTGGGTCGGGGCGATCCCAGGCACAGCTACAGGTTGGGCAGAGAAGAGATTCAGAGCAGCCCTGAGGAGAAGGACTTGGGGGTGCTGGTCAATGAGAAAATGAACATGAGCTGGATTCAGTGTGCGCTTGCAGCCCAGAAAGCAACCGTATCCTGGGCTGCATCAAAAGAAGTGTGACCAGCAGGGCGAAGGAGGTGATCCTGCCCCTTTACTCTGTTCTCAGGAGACCTCACTTGGAGTATTGTGTGCAGTTCTGGTGACCTCAACATAAAAAGGACATGGATCTGTTGGAACAAGTCCAGAGGAGGCCACGAGGATGATGAGGGAACTGGAGCACCTCCTGTATGAAGTTCGGCTGAGAAAGCTGGGGCTGTTCAGCCTGGAGAAGAGAAGGCTGCGTGGAGACCTCATAGCAGCCTTCCAGTATCTGAAGGGGGCCTATAGGGATGCTGGGGAGGGACTCTTCATTAGGGACTGTAGTAATAGGACAAGGGGTTATGGGTTAAAACTTAAACAGGGGAAGTTTAGATTGGGTATAAGGAGGAAATTCTTTCCTGTGAGGGTGGTGAGGCACTGGAATGGGTTGCCCAGGGAGGTTGTGAATGCTCCATCCCTGGTGGTGTTCAAGGCCAGGTTGGACAGAGCCTTGGGTGAGATGGTTTAGTGTGAGGTGTCCCTGCCCATTGCAGGGTGGTTGGAACTAGATGAACTTAAGGTCCTTTCCAACCCTAACTATTCTATGATTCTATGAATGGAATGGAGCTACACCAGGGGAAGTTCAGACTGGACATGAGGAAAAGCTTCCTCACTGAGAGGGTCACTGAAACAGGCTCCCCAGGACAGTGGTCATGGCACACATGTCAAAGTTCATGGAGTGTCTGGGGGCTGCTTAGTCATATGGTTTAGTTTTTAGGTAGTCTCTGAGGAGCAGACACTTACAATGAGTCTTATCGTTTCCTTCCAACTTAACACATCCTATGATTCTACGATAATGCCATTGGTGCTACTGCTGGGATGGAGCCATCACACTCTGTGCTGCCCCCAGCCATGAGGACACAGCTCCCAGCAATGGTGGCTGGCCCTGATGAAGGCAAAGAGGTCTTTTTTGTTTTTCACAAAATGGGGGGAAAATGACTTTTTGTCCCAGAAGGCTTCACCTCGTGCTCCAGGGACTGCTGGGTCCAACTGCAGGGATGTGGCCTTGTGTAGAGATGTGGGGAATGGGGACAGCTCAGTCACACTGGTGCCTCCTGTAGGACCATGGTGCCACCCAGAGCCTGCAGCCCCTCCAGGTCTCAATAGCCTCTGCTCTCTGGACAACCATCTGCCTCCATCTGCCTCATCCTGAAAACGGGAGCCCTTTGGGAATGTATTTGTGGGGAACTGCTGGGCATGATCAGGCACTGTGTGAAACTGATGTGGCCTATTTTGTGCAGGGGGGTTGTACAAGGGGGTTAGATAAAATGTACAGGAGGGCTGTACAAGGGGGTACTGCTTAAGTTATAGCTGGCTTGACAAGCTCAACAGATGCCTTATGAGGCAGTACCAGGACAGAACCTCCTAATGAAGATAATAGCACGTTAAACCAGTTGGACATAGACCAGACCCATCCAGCTCCTAAAGAGCATGAGTGAGGACCAGAGGTAAAAAGTTCAAGCCTGAGGAAGACTCGTTTACTTCATCTTGAAGACCCCTACCCACAAGAGGAAGACTACTTACTTCAGCTGAAGACCCCTGCCCAAGGCCACCAGGAGGCACTGCGCATGCGTGGAGCGCCTTTTAGCTCCTTAGAATACGAAGCGGGGATAGAATATGAATATGTATAGGCGTATTGTGCAGCCTAACACATATGTATGACCTTTCAGGATAAATGTAGAAGGGAAACGGCACTGAGGCACGCATGCCTTTTGGAGGACCAATCCCCCGTGCATCTTCAGCTGAATAAAGCATACCTACTTTACAACTTTAACCAAGTTGTGGAGTCTGTTCTGCTATCACTGTGGACCCAGCTCCTCACCTGAAGCTGGAGGAGAAGGGTGCCAGGAGGACTTTCCATGGACGACGGCAATGAGTCACTGCCCATGTCCTCAGGTGACATGCCCTGGGACAAGGAGGGTTGATTTGCAAAGACAAAACACACAGATCCCATGTTGCTGCAACACATCCCTGAAGTTGCTGGTGTCACCAAGATGTGCACATCGAAGCCAACAGCAAAGTCACACTTGGAAAAGCTTTGCCGGCTTACAAAGCCCAGTTTTAGTGCCAGGAGTGGGTTAAATCTCCAGCCCTCCAGCACGTACCAGCAGCTCTGGCCAAAACGCCTACAAAATTGCTTTACCGGCTGCAAGCAGAGCCGCTGGTTCCAAATGCCCCAGCCCAAAATCCAGGGATAGGGGCGTGGGAGAGCAAAGCATCCCCCACCTCCATTCTTCTGGGGTTGCTTCCAGCAGAAAATACTGGGCACGGAGAGGACACGCACAAGCATTTGCAGTGTTGCTTTACTAGGATTTATTTTTCTCTGCTCTGCTTGAGGATGGGGTTGCGGTCCCATGGTGTCATTTCCATGTCCTGTGGAACACAAATCCTCTTGGCTGTTTTATTTCCTCTTTTTTTTGTTTGTTTTTTTTTTTTTTCCTGCTGAATAGCATCCAGCAAAGGGAAAAATATTAGGGCAAAATGGTGTTTTGGAGCTTTACTCTTTGGTCAAGAGCAGGAAGGAGCCAGCTCAGGATGTGTGGGGATGCAGCGAGCAGTGCTGTGTGTCCGTCTGGGATGCACTCACCTGTGGAGACACTCAGGTGGGGATGTTCTGTCCCGCCCCAGACACTCTCCCATGTCTCATTCTCCAGCCCATGGATTTGGAGCTGGTTGATGCTAGTTCTACAGGAGCAGCCAGAGACACAGGGAAGAAGGGTCTGGCCTGCTCCAGCAGCACTCACACCCTGAAGAGGCCCAGGCTGGAAAGAAGCTGGGCCCCAGGCTGGAATCTGGCTGCTGCATGCAAACATCCGTGCGACTGCGTGTGAGCATGTGTCTGTGCACTACACTCATGGAGCACGCGTCCTCACATACGTGTCTGAGAGCACCCACGAGCAACAGCAATAGTGTGTGTCTGTGTGCAACCTCTTGCGTGGCAAGGCTCGCACGCAGCATGCACATACAAGCACACGTGTGCATCATGCAAACACCCAAATCACGTTTGCATGCATGCCTGGGCACAAACACGTGCGTGTGACAAACCTGCGCGTACAAACGGGTCCAGAAATACCCACGAGCACGCTCCCTCGTTTCCAGGGGTCAGAACACCCACCTGCACACGCGAATGCAAGCATACACCTACGTGCAGCACGTGTGCAGTGCCTCCCACGAGGGCAGCCCCTCGCAAACGCCAACCCCGGCCCCACAGCAGCGCGCATCCCACCCCCCCGGAAGGCAGGACACGCACTCGTCCCCGCGCTGGGCTCCGGCGGCGGGACCGGCCCCTGGCGGGCGGGGGGAGCAGGAAGAGGAGGAGGAGAAGAGGCAGGAGGAGGAGACTCGACGGCAGCGTCCCGGCTGGCGCGGGCTCCCGGCACCGACGGCACCGGTGGGGAGCGGAGCGGGACGGGACGGGCGGGACGCGTTGCGGGGCGGCGGGAAACTTGCGGGGAAGTTTGTCGAGGAAGGAAAGGGGGGGGCGGCCGCGCGGGACGGGGCGGACGGGACAAGACGGGACGGGCGGCTCCGCGCTGGGACGGGCGGGCACAGGCCCCGCAGAGCCAAGCCCGGCGGTACCGGCCGTGCTGGGCCCCGAGGGACCGGCGGGGCGCGGCGGGAGCGCAGGAATGCGGCGGGTCCCGCGGGCCATAGGCGTCACTGCCCGTGGGGGAGTGACAGCGTCCGCGGCCAATGGGGAGGCGCGGGGGGCGGGCGGCTCCACCCGACGGGTGTCCGCGGCGGATGGGGCGGGGGAGGGGGGGGTCCACGCGTGTCTCCGGTGGGAGCGGTGGGGGTGCGCTGGGTCCGTCCGAGCTGCCCTGCACAAACGGATTTGCTGTGCCGGTTCCTGCCGGGCCCTGGATCGCTCCGCAGGACAGCGCAGGCCAGGGCTCGCCTTGGTCTTGTACCAAAACTTCATGATTTCGACACAATATCACAAGATAAATTAACTTTTCCAGCCGTGCAAAGCCCATAATTCCACCAGCCGCTGCTCCAGCCAGATCTGGCAGCCGGTCAGAGCTGCAGCATCCCAAAAACCTGTCGGGACGCTGTGGGCTGGCTGCGGCTGGGTCTGTACTTATCCCATTAGGACACAAGCAGCCTCCCATTAGGGTTTCCCGGAGTGGTTTACCCGTCTGGCCACACCGGGTGTGAGGTCCCTGCTGGGACGTCGGTGGGCAGCACGGGCCCTTTGTAGCCGCATCGCTGGGGAGCATGCCCAGCCATGCCGTGCAGCCTCCCATCTCTGCAGCTTGGCAGCTTCAACTCCTGTCCCAAAGCTGTTCCTGCCTCGCTGGCAGTGGATCCGTGCTTTAGCCCTCACTGGAGCAGTTGAGGTGCAGTTGGTTTCCCCCCATCACAGCTCCGGGGACAGTCCTGAAGGCGCACAGACAGGGTGACCTCATGAGGATGACATCATCCAGATAACATGTGGATCGTTGTTGCCTCCGGTGTGCTGGCAGAGGTGGCTGGGGCAAGCTGCTGGTGGCTGTGCGGCTTGCTGGAGACCTCACTGATTCTTCATGGGGAGACCCTGTTGGGGCCGTCACCAGACACCTCTTCATAGGGTCCTCACCAATGTCCTTGTTGGAGACCTGGCTGAGGCCATCATTTGGCTCTTTGCTGGAGTCATCAGCAGGGAACTCACTGGGGACATTGCCAGTCCTCACTGGGGAGCAACATGGTCAGGTGGAAGGTGTTCCTGCCCATGATAAGGGGTTAGGCTGAATGATCTTTAAGGTCCCTTCTAACCCAAACCAGTCTGTGGTTCCATGATTCTGTGACAGGTCCAGACTCCACACCAGTGGGCTCGTCGCTCAGAGTGCCACTCCTCAAATCCCCCGGGGCTCCCCTCACCCCTCCTGTCTCCACAGGTCCCAGGCTGGTGATGGCCGTGTCCTAGGGGAGACCCACCATGAGCCAAAGCGGGGCCTCGCGCCTGGCGGGCTCGCCTCCGTTGCCAGGGGGCTCACTGCTGGCGCTGCTGGCCCCTGAGCCCTCCCCATCCCCCCCCAGCGGGACGCCCTCACCAGGACCCCCCCCAGCACTGCTGGAAGGGGACTGGGAAGGGCGGGAGGAGCTGCGGCTGCGGGAGCTGGAGGAGGCACGGGCACGCGCGGCGCAGATGGAGAAGACGATGCGGTGGTGGTCGGACTGCACGGCCAACTGGAGGGAGAAATGGAGCAAGGTGCGAGCTGAGCGCAACCGGGCCCGCGAGGAAGTGCGGCAGCTGCGGCATCGCCTGGAGGCCCTCACCAAGGAGCTGGCCAACCTGCGCCGGGACCGCGACCGCGACCACAGCCGTGACCACGACCACAGCCGTGAACGTGACCGCGACCGGCTGCATGCGGTGGAGGGAGAGGCTGACCCAGAGCAGGAGCCTGTGCGGGATGTGGGGGCCGAGGCACCCCCGAAAGCCAAGGTGAGGGGCATGGGGTGTCTGCCTGCGGGTAGTGGGGTGCCCACCCCACGCACTGCCTGCGTGTGTCCCCAAACCACCCCTGTCTGCAGCTTGGCCACAAGGCTGCTCCCTGCCCTGACTAGGAGAGCCATGTGGGGGCTCAGAGCAGTGGGGGGGGCTCAGACCCCTCTTGGAGCAGGACTTTGGCCTCAGACCCCTGTCAGAGCAATGCTGGGGGGACAGGCCCCTCCTGAAGCAGCACTGCATGTCAGACCCCTCCAGGAACAGTGTCATGGGGGTCCCGGCCACCTTGGCACTGTGGCTCTGGTCCCTTTTTTAGGGCTTTCCCTTTGGAGGTATTGGGCAAAAGTCATTGTGCCAGTAGAGGGGACAGTGACACCAGCAGTGCTGGTGGCATCTCCCAGTGACAGCTCCAATGCCAAGGTGTCTGTATGGGCTCCGGCCAGAGCTCTGTGCTGAGGGAGGAGGGGGTACCAGAGCCACACCAGGGATGCTCCCAGCTGCTCCAACTATTCCTGTTCTGCTGCCATCAGCTCTGCCATGACATGTGTCAAAGATCCCATGTCACAGAAGTCACCACTTCAGGTGCCATGACGTGCTGATTCAGCCTACCCCATGGCATTGCTGCCGAGCAGCACATCTGGGACTAACGTAAGCATCCCTTGGGAGGGCAGGCCTCTCTCCCCACCAGCCTCAGGGTGTCCCTGGGGACAGGAGGGAGAGATGTTCTTGGTTATGGAGTGAAGGGTGGGCGTTTCAGGGGGCTGTCCCCTCACCCTGTCCCCTGTGCTGAGCCACCTGCGGTGCCACAGGAGCTGGAGCTGATGGAAAACATCCTGGTGAGCAAGCAGGATGAGAGCTGGGAGCAGCGGAGCAGCCGGGCCTCCTTCACCCGGCAGGAGCGGAGCCGCCAGCTCTGGGAGGACGTCAGCATCATGGAGGAGGATGCCACCAAAGTCACCGCCCTCAAGCTGAGGCTGGATGAGTCCCAGAAAGTGCTGCTCAAGGAGCGGGAGTGAGTACTTGGGCTGTCTCCTTTGTGGGGTGCCGGCCGAGTCCAGCATGATCTCCACCAGGATGGGATGTCTCATGGTGTACTGCCCGTTGTCACCAGTGTTGTCTCTCCGCAGGGACAAGCTGGCACTCAGCAAGAACATCGAGAAGCTGGAGGGCGAGCTCAGCCAGTGGAAGATCAAGTATGAGGAGCTCAACAAGAACAAGCAGGAGATGTTGAAGCAGGTAAGCAAGGTGCCTGGGGATGAGGGGTGCACCAGGGTTGGCCTGTAACCCAGTGGGTAGCATGTCCTTGATGGATGGACATGGCGACCCATAGCCACCTCCCCAGCTCCAGGGTGCTCAGTAAGGGTCTTAATTACTGCTGTTGAGCCGGTTGGTCCACCCACAGAGGTTGGGTAGATGGGTGCAGGCAGGGTTCCAGTGGTACAAGGTGGGTGTTTGCTGCCCACCTTCGACGCTGTCCCCCTCCCAGCTCAACATCCTGAAGGAGATCCACCAGGATGAGCTGGGGCGCATCTCTGAGGACCTAGAGGATGAACTGGGTGCTCGCACCAGCATGGACAAGAAACTGGCTGAGCTGCGCGCAGAGGTGAGGACGGTACCTACTATGGGGGATGAAGGGAGCAGCGAGGGGGGTCCCTGCTGCCCCCCAGGCACACCGTGTCCCTGTCCCAGATGGAGCGGCTGCAGGCGGAGAACGCGGCTGAGTGGGGTCGGCGGGAGCGGCTGGAGACAGAGAAGCTCAACCTGGAGAGGGAGAACAAGAAGCTGCGGGCGCAGATCGAGGACCTGGAGGAGGTGCTGGCTCGCAAGCGGCGCCAGACTGCCAGCGCCCTGGACACCGACCTCAAAACCATTCAGGCCGAGCTCTTCGAGAAGAATAAGGTGCTGTCCCATCCCCGACACCCCCTCCCTGGGTGACCCTGTCGCTTCAGTGGTGGCTCAGCATCCCCCAGGACCTTCTCAAGCCCAAACTCTGCCACCCCCCCTCCTTTGAAAGGTGGCAGTGACCCCATCCTTGCTCCATCAGCTCCTCTGTCATGGGGTAGGGTGGTGGGAGAGATCCCTTGAGAGGAAGGAGGGGGCACCTGGCAGTGGGGTGGCTCTTGCCCACTCATCCCCCCCACTGCATGCCCATCATAGGAGCTGGCTGACCTGAAGCATGTCCACACCAAGCTGAAGAAGCAGTACCAGGAGAAGACAGCTGAGCTGGCTCATGCCAACCGCCGCGTGGAGCAGCATGAGGGTGAGGTGAAGAAGCTGCGCCTCAGGGTGGAGGAGCTCAAGAAGGAGCTGGCCCAAGCTGAGGACGAGGTGGGGAAGCTCGAGCTGGTGAAAGAGGGCTTGGGGTGCGCAGCTCCAGTCAGTCACTGACAGCCCCATCCCATCCCACACCATCCCATCCCATCCCATCCCATCCCACAGCTGGATGAGGCCCACAACCAGACACGGAAGCTGCAGCGGTCGCTGGATGAGCAGACGGAGCAGAGTGAGAGCTTCCAAGTGCAGCTGGAGCATCTGCAGTCTCGGTGAGTGGTGCAATTTGTTGGGCTGCAGTGGGTGCCACCAACGTGCCGTGGTGGGGTGATGTCCTTACCACCATTCCTCAACCACCATCTGCCCTGTTGAGCATTGGGCTAAGCATGCCCAAAGTGCCTCCAGCATCCTAGGAAGGTGCAAAACCACCCTTGGAGCAGCCTTCACCTCCCAGTTCAACCAGCACAAAGCTGCCCACAGACCAGTACAGCCCAGTTTGATGCTGCTTGGGGTTCAACCTGCCAGTACCAGGGTTAGGGCAGGCTCCAAGCATCCCACGCTGGTTTGGGGAGGCGGGAGGCGGGATTTACTGCCCTTGAAGACATTCCCTGGCCTCGCTTTGCCTCCCCAGCAGCAAAGAGCTGAAATGGCCGTGGAAGATCGATGCTGCATCTCCGGGAGGTGCTGGAGAGTGTGTTTGTCATCTTCCTTTATTTTATTTACACATCGTCATTAAATCATAGAGAAATAATGGAGGCTCCATCTTCCCCCCCCCCCCTGCACTCCACCTTAAATAATTCATGCTTTCCAGTAAAGCGCATCAAACTGGTCAGATCTGGCCAGCTCCTGGGCTTTTGGATTTCAAATTTGATTCATAAATTTTCATGCAAAGGTGAGCAAGAAACTAAAACTGCCACAGGATCCTGGGGATTGGGGAGTCCAATTTTAGGGGCCATCTCTCCCTGCTCTGCACTCTTTGTGGGTCTGCAGTGCCCGGTGTGGTGATGTTTGGCCCTGGAGGGTTGTAGCTGGTGCCTGGCTTGTGCCAAGCATCATCCGGAGCTCCCTGGTCCCGCGCTGGAGGTGCTGGTGCTGCAGGGATGGGTCCTGCCAGGGTGCAGGGTGCTGAAGGGGCAGGGGGGACCTGTCTGTGCCCGCTGCCCCCCACCCCAGCAGCTCCCCCTTGGCAGGCTCCGGCGGCAGCAGAGCACACCGCTCTTTGGCAAGATGCGCAGCACCCGCTTTGGCCCTGACGACACCGGGGACGGCACCAGTGACCCCGATGAGGATGAGGATCTGCAGATCCAGGTGCCCTAGAGCCCTGGGTCACCACCACAGGGACATCCCATAGTGGGCCTCTGCCCACAGGTACCTGTCACTGGGTGGTGACCCTCGTATATATATGGGGAAACGGAGTCATGGGGAAGGCTTTGCCCAGGGATGCTCCAAGCCTGCTGCCTCTTCAGCAGTATCCATTGCCCCTCGGCCACCAGCATCTCATGGGACACAAATGTGGCCACCAAAGGCAGCATCCCTGAGCAGCCCAGAAAAAGAAACCACAGGGCAGAGAGGGGCACCTAGCCCTGTTGCAAGACACGCTCTCCTGCCCACATTTTCTATGTGTATTATATATATGTATGTATTTGTATATGATTTTTTTACCAAAAATACAGAGCCCAGAGGGGCCCAGGCTTTGGTGCTGTCTGGAGTTGCTGTTCTGTCCCCACGCTGGGGCACGGATAGGGAGTGGGAGGAGACAACATTGGGGTTGAATGTGTGGCTGCTGGTGTCACCCCACTGCCACTGCTGCCCCCACACCTGGGGATGAGCCCAGCACATGGGGAAAACCTATTGCTGTGCTGCAAAGCAAGAAGCAGGGAGGCTTGTGACCACGAAGGGACACGCAGGGCTGCAGCGGCCGGGTAACGGTGCTCACCATGGGTGTGAGTGGTCACTGTGGATGTAGGGATGCTTGCCCACGGGTCCTGACCAGCGCATCCCAGCCCCAACAGCGCAGGGCCTTGCGTGGCTTCGGAAGAACTCAGACACAACCTGATTAAAAATTAATATTTCAGTGAGGTAATCCCTCCTCTGCCTTTTAATTGATTGGCTAAAAGCACGCCTCTTTGCTGTGTGTGTTATTACTTGGGGGGGAAGGGTTTAATGCCCTCTTATATCCAGGGATTATTCATTTCTTTATGGCCCCACAAATGGGGCTGCGGGGTGGAGGTGCCTGCGGCAGAGTCAGCAGAGTTGTGGGGAGCACAGGGGGTGGGGGATGAGGAAGGGACGGCAGCGTGGGGAGAGGCTGAGGCTGCCGCCAGTCTGCGGGGCGTTCACCCTGAAGCCTACTGGTGTGCGCTTATGGAAGCCCGGTTGTGGCTCGGGCTGGGATGGGCTGGGCTGGGGGGGGGAGGGGGTAGCAGGTAGGGGGCGGGGCCTTGAGGGGCGGGGCCTGCTCGGGGGCGGGGCCTGCTCGAAGCCGGGGCTCGCAGCGCCGCGGGGTCGCCGGCGGCAGCGAGGGGAGCGGGTAAGGGCGGGAGGGGCACGGCAGGGACCGGCTGCGGGCGGAGGGGGGGGCACAGGAGCGGCGACACCGCGGGGGTGACAGCGCGAGGGAGGACGGTGCCGGTGGGAGCGGCGGGGACGTGGTCGGGGGTGCCTGGGTTCCGAGGTGACGGATCGGGAGCGGGGCTACGGTGGGGGCGGGAGCTGCCCCCCTGCGTGTCTGAGTTCCCTCAGGGGGATGCTCCCCTCAGAGGCTCCGGCCCCTCTGGGGACCCTGAGGTGCTCCCATCACCCCTGTGCCTGGTCCCAACGGGACACCCCGGAGCAGAGCCCCGGGTGCGGTGGGGTCCCAGCAGCGGTGCCAGCCTGGCTCCTGGGAACACACACACGACACAAGCCATCCCGGTGGCACTAAACAGCCTGTGGCAGTGGCTGGAGAGGGATGTTGTGGTGGTGTCCCTCTGGGCTGCTGGGGGTGGGTTGGATGGGAAGGGATCCCCCCTGATGCTGGAGCTTTGGGGACCTGGCATCACCGGCACAGAGCATCCTTGGGGATGGCCCGTGGGCATCCTTTTAGGGGGGATTTTTCCAGCTGGGAAAGGAACATGGTCCCTGCCTGGTCCTGCTGCAGAGCTGGGGTCCCCTCTCCTTGGGCAGTGGGACCAGGCACAGCCTGCAGTAGGGCTGAAGGGAGGCTGGGTTGTGCCCAGGTGCGAGGGTGGAAGCCAGGGTCACTTTGGCACTCAGAGCCAAAACATCCCGTGGCTTGGCCAGGCAGGAGGCTGTTAACACTGAACCCTACTGATGCCCAGGGACTGGGGCCATGTTGCTGCCCAAGGGAGCCCACTGGGAGGAAGGAGGAGCAGGGAGAGAGGTGATGGAGACCCATGGGCAACGTCCAGGATGGGTGTCCCTGGGGACACAGGTTGGGGCTGGTGGTGGGGGACTGCTCGTGCCTGGCTCTGCCGCGCTGACAGGGGTTAACACTGGACTGTTCCACTCAGATGGTTCAGGCAGTGAAGGGAGGAGGAAGAGGAGGTGGAGGAGTGGGAGGAGGAGGAGGAAGATGTCAGCCATGGATCTGTCATTTCTCTTTTCCAGCCAGGATGGGCAATGCCGCTAGCACCAAGCTGGGCCAGCGGTGAGGCAGGGGGAGGGGGGGTACAGAGGAAGAGGATGGAGAGGGGGGGGCAAAGGTGAAGGCAGCCCCCCCCTCCCAAGATATCCCTCACCCCATCGGGCCATCGCCATGGCGACGAATTTTAACGACATCATCAAGCAAGGCTATGTGAGGATGAAGAGCAGGAAACTGGGGGTGAGTGAGCTCTGGGGGATGCGGGGGGGGGGGGGCACCGATCACACAGGTGACCCACCTATGTTGTCCCCTGGGTTTGGGTTGAATCAGAGGCATTTTGGGGTTGGAGGGAGGGTGTCACCTGTGGGTCCCCAAATCATCCATGAGCCTCAGAGGCACCGATCTTGTCCAGTGGCACCCCCCCGACGCTGGACACAGTCACCATGGGAGCTAGGGAGTGTCCCCGAGCCCCCTCTCATGCCTCAGTTTCCCTCCAGACCCAGTTTCGGCGCTGAGAATGCCCCATGCTTGGGGGGGGGGTGGGGGGGGGTGGTGCTGAGTGTGAAATAGGGGGTGAAGGGGGTGCAGCATCCAGAGGTTGGGGGTCAGGGGGTTGTTCGCCCCCACCATCGCTTGGAGCCGGCAGCAAAGAGCATGCTGGGTAATTCCACGCTAATTAGGGAGAACAAAGAGGGAGCGGGCTTAACGGGGAGACAAGGCTGGGGACATGGCCCCGCCATCTCCGGAGTCAGCAGCTGCAGGAGAGGGGCAGGGGAGATGCTGGGACGGGATGTCCCCTTGGGACCCTGGTCCATGCTCATTAGTTAAGCCCTGTAATTAGCGTTGGCAGGGGTGGGATGATGGCATCTCTGGGATATCCCCAATGCCAGCATCCCCTCCCGTCCCCAGGGTCAGGAGGAGTGGGAGGGGAGCTGGGGCAGGGATGGATGGGGCCGTGGGGACAGGGACCCCCAAACCATGCTGTGTCGCAGATCTATCGGCGGTGCTGGCTGGTCTTCCGCAAGTCCTCCAGCAAAGGGCCCCAGCGCCTCGAGAAGTACCCGGATGAGAAGTCGGCATGTCTGCGTGGGTGCCCAAAGGTGAGGGGGAACGGGGGGACCCTATGACGGTGTGAGTCCCTCCTCACCTGGATTTGCTGGGCTGGAGCTGGGTGCCTGTCACCACGTGCACTCCGGTAGGATGCTGCTGGAGCTGGATGAAGGAACCAGGGTCTGGGTGCAATGGAAACAGGTTCTGGTTGCAGGAACAAGGGTCTGGGTGTGCAGCAGGAACTACAGTCTGGGTACAGCCTGGGGTGCCCCCCCACCTCCTCCACAGGTCACTGAGATCAGCAATGTCAAGTGCATCACCCGGCTGCCCAAGGAGACCAAGAGACAGGCCGTGGCCATTGTTTTCACTGATGACTCAGCCCGGACCTTCACCTGTGATTCAGGTAGGGGCAGCACCCAGGGGAACGGGCTGGGGGTGCCGGCGGGGCTCCCCAGGCTGGCCGGGGTTGCCCAGGGGCTCCGTGGTGCCTTGCAGAGCTGGAGGCAGAGGAGTGGTACAAGACTCTGTCAGTGGAGTGCCTGGGTGCCCGCCTGAATGACATCAGCCTGGGGGAGCCCGACCTGCTGGCGCCTGGCGTGCAGAGCGAGCAGACGGGTGAGCACACAGTGTTGGGCGGTCGCAGGGCTCGGCCATGCTACAACCCCCCACGAGCCATTTTCCATGTTTTATCCCCCTCTCCAGACCGGTTTAACGTGTTCCTCCTCCCCTGCCCCAACCTCGACGTTTATGGCGAGTGCAAGCTGCAGATCACCCATGAAAACATCTACCTCTGGGACACACGCAACCCGCGGGTGAAGCTGCTCTCCTGGCCCCTCTGCTCCCTGCGCCGCTACGGGCGTGATGCCACCCGCTTCACCTTCGAGGCTGGAAGGTGAGAGTCACCACCCCTGGGACAGGGACCACTGCAGGGTCCTGTTGGGCACAACAGGAGGTGGCAACTGCTGCCAAGACAGGCCTGATGCTGGGATGATGGCCGTGGCCTGCATCGGGTGCCCCATGGCCAGGGAATTTTGGAGCTGGTGCTAGTACCAGCTCAGCATCATGGATGGAACGCAGGGACAGCACTGGAAGCGTGGGGAGCTGGGCCAGCTGCCATCAGGGGTGGTATGTTTTATCATGCCTTGGGCTTGTGAACCCCAGTGACATCCTGTGCCCAATCCCTGCAGGATGTGTGATGCGGGGGAAGGTCTCTACACTTTCCAGACACAGGAGGGCGAGCAGATCTACCAGCGTGTGCACAGCGCCACTTTGGCCATCGCTGAGCAGCACAAGAGGGTCCTGCTGGAGATGGAGAAGAACGCCAGGGTGAGCTCCAGCGCTGGGGGGCAACTTGGGGTGCCGGGTGTCACCCTCACCCTTGTCTCCTCCACCACAGCTGCTGAACAAGGGCACTGAGCACTTCTCCTACCCCTGCACTCCCACCACCATGCTGCCCCGCAGTGCGTACTGGCACCACATCACCGGCTCCCAGAACATGGCTGAGTCCTCCAGCTATGCCGGTGAGTATTCCCAGCCTCCCTGGGGAGCTGCCACCCCTGCAGCAGCCCCCCAGGTGAGCCCACTCTCTGCTTTGTCCCCAGGGGAGGCGTACGCGGGCGCCCAGGCCAGCTCAGACACCGACCTCCTCAACAGGTTCATCCTGCTGAAGCCAAAGTCCTCCAAAAGTGACCAGCCTGAAAGCAGGGAGCCCACTTCGTCCCCGTGAGCTGGCAGGGGGGGACTTGGTGGTGGGGGCCCCCCTTTTTCTTCCCCAAGGGGTGACAAGGACACAGGCAGCTGCCCCTGTGGGTCCCCAGGGTCACCCTCTGTGCCAGGACCTTGGGGAGCTGGCACTGGCTCACTGCCTGATGTTACTGGGGGTGACACTGGCTCAGCCTCCCCCGACTTGAAATATATCTTGAATATTTGTATGATAAGTGATTTTTCCTTCTCAGATGAATGCAAACTTCGCAGCCGCTGAAGAGCCCTTGGGCAGAGATGCTCATAGGTTTTTGACTCTTTTGGGGATCCGGCTGGGAGGTGGCAAAGAGATGAGGGGGTCATGAAATTCCATGTGTTTCTGCTAGGTGGGAAGGCTGGAGCACCACAGCAGCACTGGAGGCTGCGGCTGTGCCAGGCTGAGGTGTGGGGTCCCAGCATCTCACCCCCCCATGAAGAGTGGGGTGCTCCTGGGGACACCCCACCACCCCCAAGCTGAGTTTTGCACTTCTCAAAGCTACTGAAGCACTTGCTGTAGAACTGGGATGCCTCAGGAGAACCTGGCTTTCCTCCAGGGGTTGGTAGGGTGAGCAGCCAGGCAGAGCCCAGCTCCTCACCTCAGCACCCCCCAAGCTTTGTCCCTGCTGTAGCTGCTGGTGGGCAACCCAGGGACCCATTTTGGCCAGCAGCAAATTCCTGAGGGGCAGCTTTGTGGCTATGATTATTCCCTGGGCAGAGCAGGGGAGAGCTGTGTTTCTGTGCATTCCCATCATCCTCGCTCCTTCCTTGCCCGCCGCTGGGTGACATCCCTTTCCTGGCGGGGAGCTGGGCATCATGTGCTGAACTCAAAAGCAATTGATTTTTTCCTAGTTCTATTTATTGACCTCCTTTAGAAGGGCTATCTTTTTATCGCTGTGCAAACCTTGGTGTTTCTTCGGAGTCTTCTTTTGGTCTGGGTTGGGTGGTTGGTGGGTTTATTTCCACCCTTAAAGCTCCATGTCTGTGCTTGAGGGGCAGGAGTGTCGTGATGTGGGAACCTGTGGTCTGTAAATGCTGTCTCTTGGGTTGGTGTAGCTTGTGGCTGCAGCTGGGGGGGCGGTGGGATGGAGAAGGGCTGCTCCCAGCCGCGCGTCCTCCCCTGGGGAGAGGTGTCACTCCTGGCTACACACCTCATCTTGAAAGGATTTAACATTTATTACCAAAAATGCTTGGGTTTCCTTTCTTCATTTGTAAGGAGTTGCTCGATGAATAAACAACCCTTATCCACCCTTCCTGTGTGTCTGTTCCATCCAAACACACTCGGAACTACAAGTGTCTGCCAGGGAGAGAAGTGCTGATGTGGGGAGATTTCCTACCACTGCTGGCAGTGTTCTCAGCTCAGCTTTGTTCTGCTTCCAGCCATGGCCAGGACATTCCAAGTGAAGGCTGAAACTGGTGGGGAGGGGAGAACTGTGGAGGCAGTTGCCACCCTCCATTAAACAACCCCAAGTAAAGCAGGATGCCAGCACCCCACTGCCGCCCCTCACCTCCAGCAGCCCACGGCTCTGAGGATAGCCCAGAGCAGTGGTGGCTCTGCATCCCCAGGCAAAGGAGTTCCAAGATACTCCATCTCCCAGCTCTTCCAGAACTATGCCAGTTCAGTGACCCATGATGTGACTGGCTCCAAGGTTAGAGCTATGCTAGTCAGGGCAGTGGCCATGATGTGACTGGCTCCAAGGTTAGAGCCATGCTAGTCAGGGCACTGGCCATGATGTGACTGGCTCCAAGGTTAGAGCCATGCTAGTCAGGGCAGTGGCCATGATGTGACTGGCTCCAAGGTTAGAGCCATGCTAGTCAGGGCAGTGGCCATGATGTGACTGGCTCCAAGGTTAGAGCCATGCTAGTCAGGGCAGCGCTCTCTCCAGGCATAGGGACAGGTCGTAGGGAGCTGGCTGTGCCACAGCAAGGACACAGAAGTGACAACAGCACTGACTCCAGCTGCTCTCTCCAGCCCAGCATGAGCACCCACCCCTACTCCCCAAGCTGTCCCCCTGCCCCCCATCCACACTGGGATCAGCACTGTGGCACACACACATTTCCCTCCCTCCCAGCCGCTGCAGTAAGGAAGAGGCAGATCTCTCCAGGAGCATGTCACCAAGCAGCTCATCCCAAGTCCTTCTGGGTGCTGATGGAAGGAACAAGAAGGGCTGACCCAGACATCTGCTGAAGCCCTTAGGTTGCTGCCACAGTGGTCACGGCCTGGGCATTGCACCAAGCTCCAGCATGCCATGGAACCCACCTTGGGGCTATGGGCAGATGGGAAGCTGTCAGCCAGGGGTTATTAGTGACAGGCTCCCTGCCATACCTTCCCCTAACATAAAGATTAGGAGAGCACATGGGTAGAGTCTGCTCCAGGGGAGTTTTTAAATACAGCTAAGTCTGCCCAGCCCACCTGGACTCCCCGGCAGCACTGGTTTCTGCAGCATCTCCCTTCACAGCCCAGTATCAAACATTTGCTTAATTTAAACACAGCTCTGGACCAGTAAATGATGGGCTACCTGCTGGAGGGGTCTGGTCTCCTTAGGAGATAATGTCAAGAGCAGCAATCAGCAGCAGAGAGCAGTGCTCTCTCCGAAGGAGATCTCATTAAGTTAATGTCTATTGGAGAGAAGTAGATGGTGTGACTTCTCCTCCTGCAGCCCCCGAGGAGCTTTCAGGGATGACAGAACACAGGGAAGGGGGTAAGGCTTTATTAAGCATAGTAAGAACCGACATGCAAATAAGGTAGGGTTGTGTAACTGAGGTACACTGCCAAATCGGCAAACTCTGGCCTAAAACTCTAAAACACTGAAAAAAAAGCCTGTCCCAACCAAGACTCTCACCAATTCCCCTTCTGCTTTAACCTAGATACCATGATGGCATTCCTTGGAAAGGAAGCCCAGGGAAGAGATGTCACCAACCTGCAGACTTGGGCCAGAAGAGGCAGAGGGAGATGGGGGATACAGAGCACTGCTGGGCACAGGCAAAGACCTCCTGCAGCACTTTGTTGAAAGGGGTCACCTCAGTTTATAGTGAGGACATCACTCTGAATCTCATGGCTCAGCTGGGTTTGGAGGTCGCTCAGTTTCTTCTTCAGGCCAGAGAGTGCAGACAGAACGATGGTCTCAGGGCGCAGAGAACCGCAGGACTCCACGTTGTAGTAAAACCTGAGGTTACAAGCTGGTGGGTTAAGTCACCGTCTGCTCTGAGGAGGTGCAAAACCAAAGAGCACCTGCAGAGCTGTTGCAGCCTGTCCTGACCCACCGCAGGGAGATCTGCGTGGAATCCCAGCCACCAGCATCATTCACCTCCCCAGCATCAACAGCCAGCACCGCCCCTCTGCCATTGTCACACCAACACTTGTGGCTTCACAGGCTGCGGGAGCACTTCTAAGACTATTTCTGTTCAGGACCATAACCTGCGAGCCAGCACAGAGCCTCAAACCAGGGAATAAGGCTGGCTGCAGGCACCCCTGCAGTGTGAATAACTCAGGAGAGGGGGTATCACCAGCAGTCACAGCATGAGACATCTACATGGGTGAATAAATGTCTGAAGCCATTTTCCGCTGTAGGCCTTACACTCCACCTAGTGCTGCAGTGCCCAGCTTGAGAACACAAACTTGGGACAGCCATCCAGTACCTCCCAGAGGGGAAAGCCTACCAGGTTTGGGCATATCACCACTTAACTCCATCTTTTACCCTGCTTTTTAGGGAATACCAGGTCCCTGGGCAGGAAAACTTCAACACAGAGTGAGTACTCCTGCACTGACAAAAGCAGACAACATGGACCCTGCTAGTTACCCCATTCTGCAGCTACAGTAGCATATTCAGCTTCCCACCTCTCTGGCTTCCCATTGGGATCGTAGGGAGCCTGAGCATCCTCCTCGTCGATCTCTGAGTACTCACTCTTGGGCCTGGAATCAAAGAGCAGGACAAGTTAGCACAGAGCCTACACTCCAGCCTGGCCCTATGGAGCTCAGCCCCAAAGTGAGCACAAGGGCTGATGTCCAGCAGTAATGAAGCATCATGTCCCAGGGAAAAGCTCAGTCCCATGTTGCCCTTTCTGGCTCCTCACTAATGCCACACAGGCACCTAGTGGTGCTGGAGGATCAGCCCTGCCCTGCCCCAGTTAGTGAGCCTGTGCAGGGTACCGTGGCTCCATCCGCCTACCCTGGCACAATTTGGCAGGTGCCTAAAGTGAATGGACAGTGATGTCTGCAGGGACTTTCTTTATGGAGAAGCCTGAATGCTGGTTTTGGGGCAATCATCTTTTCTTTCTACTTTTCCCTTGGCCAGGAAAACAAGGGAGCATTCCAACACTCAGCCTAGGCAGCACAGCTGAGATGGAAAGGTCTGGCCAGCTTGGGCCCAGCAGGAAAAAAATCTCTTGTATTTGACCTCAGCTACATCAGTGAGCCCCATCCCATGACCTCCACCTCTACCCTTCTAGACATCACTACCAAAACCACTGCAGTACTTGTGCATCAGCTAGGCCAACACATCTTTCTCCCTGTTGCATCCTTGGTTTACAGGACATCATACCACAGAGACTTTTTGGAAGCATTTCTTCCACATAAAAAAAATATTTAAGAATCCAAAGCCTTGAGCTATCTGAAAAGCCAGCACAGAAAATTCTGTGCACTCCAAGGTCTCCTGCTGGCCTTCCTCTGCCCCAGCAAGAGCAAGCAAGGCTGATCTGAGCACCCTGCCATGAGCTGCCTCAAAGCTGCACTTCTTCAGCAAATCCTGCCTCTGTAACAAATCCTGTCTCTGTAACTTAGGGAGATAAAGTGTCAATACAGCTGGATGTTCATGTTACTTGCAGAACCACCTATGACTGAAAACAGGGCAGAGGTTTCCACCACAGCTGTTTTGAGAGTCCAGCTGCATGCCAGTGCTCTGCCAGCAGCCTCCAAAAGCAATTAGCATGAAAAAACAAACCAAAAGTAACAGCTAGCCTTGGACTAACAGAAGGCTTTGTCTCTGTATTGTCCTCACAGGAATCAGATGAACTTGGAAAGACGGACATATTATCAGGGAACAGACAGCTCTAATGTCAACCTTCACAGAATCACAGAATCATCAGGGATGGAAGGAACCTCTGGAGATCATCCAGTCCAACCCCCTGCTAAGACAGGGCTGCCTAGGGAAGGTCACACAGGAACCAGGAGGGTTTTGAAGGTCTCAGAGAGGGAGAGTCCACAACCCCCCTGGGCAGCCTGTTCAGGGCTCTTCCAACCTCAAATGAAGTCGTTCTTCCTCTTGCTGAGGTGAAACTTTCTGTGTTTTAATTTATGGCCATTGCTCCTTGTCCTGTTGCTGGGCACCACTGAAAAGAGTCTGGCACCATCCTCCCAAGATACTGATCTACACTGATGAGATACCCTCTCAGTCTGCTCTTCTGTAGACTAAACAGGCCCAGCTGCTGCAGTCTCTTCTTGTAAGATTGATGCTCCAGACCCCGCATCATCTTTGTCGCCCCCACTGGACTCTCTCCAGTAGAAATTACAGAGTTTTTATAACACCAAATGAAGCCCAAACAGATTTCAAATTCCAACTTGAAATTCCACATCACAGAGACATTTCTGCTTCTCAAGCATCCAATACATCTATCAGACCATCAGCTAAACTGTGGGGCAATTTATCTGCTATAAATCATTTGGGAAAAAAAAAAACCAAACTATCTTGGAACTTCAAAACTATCCAGCTCCACCCCAAAACTGCTTGTGAAGAACTACAGGCTAGCACGTAAACTCTTGTGGTATGCTCCTGTCCACAAAACTGCAGAGCAGCATCCTCATCCTCCACACTGCATTACCTCATCACAAACAGCCTTTATGGGTTATCCCTCTGACAGCCTGGTCTGTAGCTGGCAGTTCCCAAAATCCAGCTTCAGTCCACATGTACAGCCCATCAATACTAAGGAAGATGCCCACTCCCAGATTTCCAGCACTACCAGCCAGCCTGGTTCCTACTGCAGAACCCAGAGTACCACCCTGACCAAATGCTGAAGGAGCCCAAAACCTGGCACATCTCATCCTCACCCAATCTGACCTAACCGGACCCATGAACATGCCCTGCAGAACCCATCAAAGCCAAGCAGCTTTTGCTACTTCCACCCCAAAAACAGGGCTGGGATGGCTGCAGGCAGGTCCCAGCCCATTTCATGCATGTTACGGACTTGCCCTCACCTCCACCCTCAGCAACAAAAGGCTTCTCAAGTCTCCGGAGTGCAAACCTAGCTACGCAGGATC